TTAACGTTGAGCCAACAGCTCCGTGAAAAACTTGCCTTCCCAGGCAAAATGGGCAGACTTAATCGTCATGTCCAAGACAACCAAAATAGAGTCGAAGCAGATCTAAAGCTTCGTCAATCTGAGAATGAAATCTCATATTAACGCACATGTAAAGATTACCTCGTTGAGGTATATTTCTCATAATTGTCGAAACAATACGCTCCTTAAATCGTGCAAGTTTAAATACTCACCTGCACACGTTTCAAAACTAGCATCATAAAGTTATAGCAACATCGATAAACGGTTCCTTAACTGAACTTTTCATGAACTTGTGTCAATATCGATTCAACATCCACATATGAAACTCCATAACATTTTCCCATTTGCCTTTCGGGTCTGAAGTGATCAACATCGAAATTGTCATCCATTTCTCCCACAAATTCTAAAAGCACAATTCTCGCTCGCGAACTCACACAAGAACAGTATCCTTCCAAGTACCATGTCACGGGTAACATCATCTGTGAGAGTCGTCCAACGAGCCATAATCTATTACCTCCAGACATTCTAATTTTTGAAGATATTCACGAAGCGTTTCTAATTCACAACTACCTCCATTTTACTAGGATCAATAGTCACTCTACCAGTAGAGATGACCTGACCCACATTCTCTATTCCACACAATAACTTAAGTGAGTTTAGGTCCTATTCTATGACTCTAGTCGTGTCACGACTTGCAATTTTCACAAGTCATTACTCTTTTAAAATAAAGCCATAATTTCTTTCATAGTACAAAATCATATTCATGTTCATTTCAGTCGATACATGTTAATTAATATACCAATTAACTCAGTGGCGTACCTTAGTTCACGTACACATGCAAAATTTACAATTCAAATAGAAAGGTAAAATAATTCTACATAATTGCATACCTCAATCTGCATGGCATCTGCAAGATCGAAAGTCAATAAAGGATGGTATAACATCGAGATATTAACACAGTTCATAGCATTTATTTCATACTTAGTACTATCCATGGTGTTCACATGCAATCAACATATGTAACTGATCAATAATTTACATATTAACCTAGAGTCATGGAGACCACTCAACCCACAAAACTAATTGTACACTTAATTCCTTAAAGAGAATTTCACTCTCTCAAACCAACCTGACTAGAGAGTGTTTTTCACTCAGACGCAATAAGATATTATCTCTTACGTTTTCAAAATAAAGCACCATCACAAATTATGTAATGTGTAAGGCATCTTACCTTTTATCCCCAACTTTGGCATATCACTCTTCATTACAACCTTAATTATATAAAACATAATTCATACATCATATTATGCAATCACAACAATCCAACACACGCCCATGCACATAGCTCATCGACTATTTATCTCATCTTTCACTCTCACTGTATCTTAGCTCTTACACTAAGTATACAATCATCAATTTTTATTGTACCTTAGCTCTTCCGCTAAGTATACGACTATTTTCTTTCATTGTACCTTAGCTCTTCCACTAAGTATACAATTATCCATTTTTATAGTACCTTAGCTCTTCCACTAAGTATACGACTATTTTCTTTCATTGTACCTTAGCTCTTCCACTAAGTATACAATTCAGACACAAATTTTCCCATACATACTTTGTATGGTACATTAGCTCTTTCGCTAGTAGTACCTTATATTCGTAATCTATTACACATTTAATTTTACCAATTTATATAATCACACAGTTCTAGCACACATGATTTTACTTAAGAGTACACTAGTACAAATAGTTAATTCATATTGCAAAAATCATACCTTCAACTAGCTTGAGAGTTTTCTTTCTGTTCAGTGGCTTAAAGTATAATCTTGACCTCCTGCTTGAGGCCCTGTAACTGCTTGTACCCTTACAGCTCGTTCGGCCTTGGTAACACACTCATTTGTAAAGTGGCCAGGCTTGCCACATTTAAAGCATACGTTTTGTTCATACCAACAATTACCTTTATGAATATTTCCACAGGTGCTACATTTAAGCAACGAGGATTCACTCCCAACAACCACTCCTTGATTCCTTCTTTTCTTGAACCTAACACTGGTTTGCTCCAATTGCATATCCTTGCTTCCTTTGTTCATGTCACAATTCCCTTTATTCTTCCAAGGAGTAAAACTACTAACTCTTTTTGCTACAGATTCATTGTCTGTCTTCTTCTTGTTAATCACACAGACATCCTCAATATCACGGCATTGCTGAACCAGAGTTCCAAAGTCTCTAGATGTCGATCCTGCTATCCTTTCAGCGATGTTCTCATTTAGACCTCTACGGAATTTAGATGCCAGAAATTCAGATGTAGGCATCACCATCCTATAGTAAGCAAACTTGGTCAGCTCATTGAACTTAGCCAAATATGCATCAATCGTCATAGAGTCCTGCACTAGGGGCTCAAACTCTCCTTGCTTTCTCTCTTTTGCATCATAAGGGAAATACTTCCCCAAGAATAACTCCTCAAAAAATTGCCAAGTTAATCTGGCCCTGCATCTCATAGTCCTGAGAGGTGTTCATCCACCACTCATATGAATCTCCCTCAAGCATGTAGGTAGCGAACAATAACTTTTGTGGATCAGTACACTGCATCACCCTGAAAATCTTATCCAGGGCCTGCAACCACTTGGCTGCGACAATCGGGTTATACGATCCATCAAAGGATGGTGGCTTATGCTTACGAAAAGAATTCAGTCGGCGGTCTCTCGTCTCCTGGTCCTCAAGGCTCGTAGTATGGCTGTATTATGCCAGTAAGATGACTAACGCCTTCCAAGTTACTCTTACTCATGTCTTCTAGAAAATGACTTCCTCCACTCCTATTCCCATCTTGACGGTGAGGTGGAGGTGGTGGTGGCGGCGGCGGAGGATGCTGGTCGTTATTCCGACCAGCCTTCAACTCCTCCAACATGACTCGCATCATGGTCATATTTGCAAGCTAACAATCCAAGCCATAGTCCACACTACACTGATGTCCACAAACAGCACCCTCATAGTCTATTTATAACATAAATAATCATTATTATTCATAGCCCAATGTTTTGCTAAGTGTTTAAGGCTTTCCAACTTGTTTTAAGTGATTTTAGGCTAATTCTGCAGGAGGTATTCGAATACTCCTCGATGAGTATTTGAATACTACATGTCTCTAGAAAGTATTCAAATACTTTCACTAAAGTATTCAAATACCACTAAGTATCTGAATACTTTTCCCACGGTATCCGAATACTACACAATATCCGAATACAAATCCTACAGTATTTGAATACCACAAGGTATCCGAATACTTTTCTTCCCAGAAAAGTATCCCAATACTCCTTCAATAAGTATTCGACTACCTACTGATGAGTATTTGAATACTACACGAAAAGTATTCGAATACTTATCCGACAGAATGCTGAAACTCATGCAGTTTCTGCATAATCCTATTTTTAAGGGTCCAAATGTGATTGGGAGTCCAATAACTCCACAAACAGAACTTCATTAACATCTTTTAAGCATAGAGTATCATCCTTTAACTCAAATGGTTCAAGTTTCTCTTTTTAAAGACTCACACAAGCTCAAACCATGGAAATTTCAAAAGGGATGATCAAGGCTTATCTTAGGACTTGAAAACTCAGAAAAAACACAGACTTGGAGCCTCCTTCACAGCTCCAAGGTTCTGACTTTGCAAAGCCACAAATTTGGTACACAAAGAATGGTTCTTTCTCTTCAAAGATCACTCCTAGGAGCCACCACAACCAAGGAAATGGCTCACACAATGAAACTCACATACACAGCCACAAAACCCCTCAACTCAGAAGCCTAAACTCTGTAATGAGTGACCTCACACCCTCACAAGGCTTGGTCTTACACACCTAAGCTATTTTAGTGAAGGAGATATGCATAAAGATGACCACTTTGGAGGGTTCAAGGAAGAAGAAGGTCATGAAATGGTGGAGAAGGAGAGTGGCAGCAGCTGAGTATTCAAAATAACTCACGTAGGCAGCCACAATATGGCCTAGGGTTATGTGCCATTAAGCATTTATAGTCGTTTAAATTTTAAGCACACTGTATTAGCACTAATAGTTACGCTTTTCATTTTAATCTCAAACTTTGGATTCTAAACGTAGCCATTTTTCTAGGATTTGTCATATTTTTATTTTATTTTTCGCAGTACTTTGTCGGTACGCGCTTTTACGTAGCCGGTATCAGTCCTGATGCTAGTTCTCATTATTTCGACTCCAAACTTGTTATACTAGTCCTAGATATTATTCTAGTGATATATACATATTTTTCATAATTTTCCGGGATACTTCATCTGTACGCACTAATATCGTGGAGCAGAACCGGTATCTGCACTTTTCGTCAGAAAAGCGACTTTCAACATTATTAATCACTTACTATAATTATTTAAGCTTTCTCATAATTATTAGGGTCAATTATGGAATTATTTCCTAAATTCACATTTAATTAATTAAATTCCTAAATTAACGGTGCGGGTTCTTACACTAGGCTCATTGACGGTGGTCTCCCCGCCATGGGCTCCCTTGGCTCTCCTCATAATGGTTTTAGATTCGATGTTTCAGCTGAGCCATTTATGTGATTGGTTTAGATGAGTATTTGGAGATGGTGATTGTTGAAGTTTGAATATGTTATTGTGCCCATTTTCCTTAATTCACACCTTTTATCTTGTAAGTTTCCTTCGCTATCTCTTTAATTTTGAGATAAAATTGTATTTGTCAGACTAAGGTTAAATTTTTTTTTTCTAAAAATTTGAGCTTGGGAAGATTTTTCAAACATTGATGAGAAACTATAAGTTGAAAATTCATTGTAATTAAATTGAAACTAATTTATTTAAAATAAAAAATAAAAAATAAATTTAAAATTTGCAAGTGAGGTATCTTTTTTCTACTTGAACCACTTATTGATGGTATAAATAATAGCTGCTTGTGAGCTAAATTCTCATGCCAATAATCACTACTAGCAAGGTATCATTATAGTACTTTACTCCAATGGCTGAGACTCATCCCACACATTTCACAAAAAACCAATCAAAGAATGGGCAAGAAGCAAGTGAAGAAGACAAGCTAAGCCAAGATTATAAGGATCTTATTCTCTCTCTTCCTAGAGAGAAAGGTTGGACTAGCCCTTATCTCTATCAATTCCAAGGTTTTTGGTTCCGTCCAACTCAACTCCAAGCAATAATCACTTTTCAGGAGCACTTCCAAGCCAAAGACAGTGATGTTATTGTTGCGACATTTCCAAAATCCGGCACAACATGGTTGACAGCCCTTACCTTTGCCATTGTCAACCGCCGCCGTTTTTCATCCTCAGAGAACCATCCATTGCTTACTTCAAATCCCCATGACATCGTGCCTTCCTTTGAATTCACCGTTTATGCGAACACCCATGACAAAGTTCCTCACCTCTCCAACATGATCGAACCAAGAGTTTTTGGTACTCACATTCCATTCCCTTTATTTGCTGAGTCAATCAAGGAGTCCAATTGTAGGATCATTTATATATGCAGGAACCCTCTTGACAATTTTGTGTCTGCTTGGATTTTCTTCAGCAAAATGAGGCAAGAGTCTTTACCAGCATTAACACTAGAGGAAGCTTTTGAAATGTACTGCAATGGGATAATTGGGTTTGGTCCTTCTTGGAACCAAATTCTGAGTTATTGGAATGAAAGCATAGCTAGACCACACAAGGTTCTGTTCTTGAAATATGAGGACCTTAAACAGGATGTCAATTTTCACGTGAAAAGAGTGGCTGAATTCTTGGGTTGTTCTTTCACTCATGAGGAGGAAAATAGTGGAGTGATTGAAAACATAATAAAGCTTTGTAGTTTTGAGAATATGAAGGATTTGGAGGTAAATAATTCTGAAGCAACTGGCAGGAACCTTTGGAAAAAGCACTTGTTTCGTAAGGCTGAAGTAGGGGATTGGGTGAATTACCTTTCTCCTTCAATGGTAGAAAAATTATCCAAAATCATAGAAGAAAAGTTAAGTAAATCAGGCCTTTCATTTGAAGCGTACTCTTAATGTTGTTGTGGCTTTTCGGCTTTTCCTTTTCATAATAAATGGATGTCATTGTACCACGACACTTGGCTGCTGACGACTACCTCAATTAGTAACATTCACAATCCGTGGATGTGTGTGTGTGTTAAGTTCTCAATTAAGGTTATTTCCTTGGGATCTTTATGTCAAAATGGTGTGTTATTTTATTTTCTTCCTTAAAGTGATGGAACTACAAAATTATGTGTGGCCTTGAGAGTATGTCTCCTGTTCCGGTTGGGATCTTGACTTATTTCAAGCTACTTATTTGTCCCTCGTTCGTGGTGGAGCTGTTTCCCTTCCAAATTTCCCATTCTTGAAAGCAAATTAGATAATTCTGCACGTTAAAAATTGTAGAGTAAAGCCCCTTCTATGTTAGGAATTCAAAAAAAACTTTACTCAAAATTCTATTACCAGTGTGATGTACTCCTCCTCGTGACCCCAGAGGCTCAAGAGGGGAGTTATAATATTATCATGTGAAAAAAAAAATATCAATCACTTTAATTCATAATTACACATATATATTATATCGGGAGTGGATTCTTTATGTTAAAAAAAAGACATGGTTATTTAGAAAATCATAATCATACAAAAGTAAATTAATAGTGACAAAGGAAGAGAGAAAAATAATAATAAAAATTATAGTTACAAAATTATTACCGTTAATTCACTTTTACATAATTGTGATTTTTTCACGTGATCGTGTCACGTTTTTTTTAGGCTAAATTGCAATTTAACCCCATGTACTTAGATCTTTATGCAAAAAACTACCATTTACTTATAATTAAAACAATTAACCTAATTATACTATATAATTTAAACAAAAAAACATATCTGTTAAGGATACATCCAATTTCCTTAAGTTTTGTGAGAAACACCAAAACACATTGTTGTTTTCTACCCTCCCAAAATTGGTTCCTGCACCACTCTCCACTTTTAAAAAACTATTTTTTTTATTGCAAAACTCATTTTCTTCTTCGTGTTTTTTCACTTCGCCTCCGGACATAGACACAACGAAAAGGGTCACAATACTAAGAGTATCGTCAATCTATCTCAACTTTTTGCAATCATAATCTTCCTCATATCTCTCAAACGGGTTTTTGTATAATGCTGCTAATTGGAAGTTGAATTAATTTAAATTCTGCATTTTATATGGGTTTTGGTGCATGTTTAATGTTTAATTTTAGTGAAATAATATGTTGAATAAGTTTAAGTTAAATCTCTAAGAAAATGGGTTTCAATAATATGTTCTTGTGTTGAAAAGCACATTAACATAACCAATCTGTTCAATTTCTTAGGGAAGAAGGTATTAGAAAAGTAACAGTAAAAATTGTTACCGAGCGAAAATAGACATAGGTTGAATTCATGTTTTTGTCCCATTTTATTTTGTTCCCTCATTATCTCTTCAACACTTAATCTGTTGCTTTGTACTCTTAGTTGGAGAGGACGCTAGGTAGAGATATGTTGTTGTTAGTTTTAAAAAAATAATATCGTTCACAAAATAAAATCGATCTAACGGTGAAATTGTTTGGTAGTAACATTAGTTTTTACAATATATTTCACAAAATAACATTTGTCCTTCTAAAAAATATATTGTTGTGTCATTCTAAATAAAAGACAGACACAACTTAGTATTTTTTATTTAAAGTTTAAATTAAAAAAAATCACTCACTTTCTCTCCCATAATTTTCATTGCTTATATTTATGAGTTCACTTTTTCTACAGTTACTGTAGATAAGTTATCTGCAATAAGCCCAACACGACGTCGTTTTGGGTGGAAATCATGGTATTTTTGTAATTTTAATTTATTTCATAATTATTATAGTCTTTATAATTATAATTTTTTAATATTTCAATCTCAAAACGACGTCGTTTTAGGAGTAAATGCAAATAACTTATCTGCAATAACTTCAAAAATATTTTTCCTGTATATTTATAGGGGAATGATATACTTACCACCAAAAAAATTTATCACTTTTACAACCAATCTAATCACCGTTGATTTTCATCAATCTAACGGTTATAATTTATTGGATCGCATTTATTAATTAATTATTAATTTCCAATAAATCTAATAAATTATAACCGATAGATTGACGAAAATCAACGGTGATTAGGTTGGTTGTAGAGATGGTAAACTTTTTTGGTGGTAAGTATATCCTGCCCCATATTTATATATCTCTCTTTTAAAACAACAAACACTAAATCCATAAAATAAAGAGTTAGGATATTCTTACTGTCCATTTTTTTTTACTACTACTTTATTATCACTTTAATCACCATTGGATTAGAGGAAAAGTTGAATGAAGAGAGAAAAAAAAAATAACTTTTGTATCTAATGATGATTAAAGTGGTAGTGGTGGTCCTAATGGAGTGGTAGTAGAAAAAATGGGTAGTAAGAATATATACCTCAAACATAAATTAGATAGGAGAAATAAATTAAAGTAAAATAAAGGGCGATAAAAAAGATTGATGACAATAGAATCTGAAACCCCAGTTGTTGAGAGAGAGAGGCATTTTGTGTGTTCAATCACTGTTTAGCGGCATAGCCATGGCTACTGCGAGGAATGTGAAGGATGTTTCGCCTCACGAGTTCGTCAAGGCTTACTCTGCTCACCTCAAACGATCTGGCAAGGTATAATCCTTTGAATTATTTGTTTTTTTTTTCATTTTTCATTTTATTTTTTTGGAGCAAAGATTTGAAATTTATCTGAAACCCATTAAATTTTCTGTAACCATGAAATGGGTTTTGAATAGTTGTGCTTGTGACCCGTTCCATGTGCTGGTTTTGTGTCTTGAGAAATAATAATGTTATTCTATCTAAAAGTGAAAGTATTTCTCTCTCTCTCTCTCTCTCTCTCTCTCTCTCTCTCTCTCTCTTTTGAGTTAGGTTGAAGTTTATTGTTATGTTTGTAGGAAAATTGAAATGGTTACATACACTACTAAAGTGAGTGGCTATTGCATTCTGTGTTTCTTGGTCTTTTGGGATTTCTCATGATTCCGTTATCAACTTGTGTGTTTCCTGTGTTACCCCCAACCAAAGCATTGGTTGAGCCAGCGGAATGGATGGTAATTTGTCATAAGGTTCAGAAGAAGGAGCTGACGTGCAACTAGAGAAAAAAAATTAAAATCAAGTGTCATATAGGCTTAGTTTTAAGAAGACTTTTCATTTTTTATAATGTGTAGTAAATTAGCTATTTATGCTTTTGTAAATCTGACTTATGGTCTAAATTTTATATGTATTACCCTTTTCTTTGTGTTGTTGTACTATTTTGTGGATCGTATTGGTTTTCAATGCTATGGGATTGGGAAGTGAATTTCTGCTATGTCCCATGTTAGTTTTGATTTATCAAGTTCAGGTGTGATTGTTTTGTCTGATATTTATTTTGTTTTCCTTTGGTTCTAAATAGATGGAGCTTCCTGAGTGGACAGATATTGTGAAGACTGCAAGATTTAAAGAATTGGCTCCCTATGATCCTGATTGGTATTATGTTAGAGCGGGTGAGATTTTGTCTCCCTCACAAATCTGATTTCTGAATGTGCACGAACATGATACTTCGAAGAGGTCGTTTTTTGGTCTTTTCTTTCTAGAAATTGCAATGATTTAGTCTTTTTGCTTAATTCAATCTTGATTTAAAGCTTAGTTTTGGGATAAAGGTGACATTGTTATTGAATTCAATCTTGATTTCAGCTTCCATGGCAAGAAAGATCTATTTGAGAGGGGGTCTCGGTGTTGGTGCATTTCAGAGGATTTATGGTGGGAGCAAGAGGAATGGTAGTCGTCCTCCTCATTTCTGCAAGAGCAGTGGCGCCATTGCTCGTCACGTTCTTCAACAGTTGCAGAGCATGAACATCATTGAGACTGACGTCAAGGGGTAAGGATTCCTTTCCCCTTGTTCAATCTACTTGAGTGATTTTTTATAGCTACTATTACAATATTGAGAATAGTAGCCTTAGATGTGTCAATACTTCTGTGGAAATTGACAGGCTATTTTACTTTCTTTTTTTATTTATTTATGCAATTGGCATGAGGGCAAGCCTTAGAGTAGTAATAAGGTTGTTCCTCATAACTGCAAGGTCTCAGGTTCATGGCTGGGAAACAACCTCTTTGCAAAAATTGCAAGAGTAAGGCTGCATATAATCGACCCTCAACTCTACTCTCTTGAGTTCGAGTTGGGTAGACTTGTGCGATGATGGGGTTTACCCTTTATTCATGCAATAAGCATATTAGCATATTTCTTTAACATTGCTAATTTTTTATCATATTCTTAGGTTATTGCTTGTCTATTCTGCATCATCTTGTTACTATCTTCATATCATAATTTTCAAGGATTGATTTGATATATATCTTTATATCTCAGTGGCAGGAGAATTACATCCAGTGGCCAGAGGGATCTTGACCAAGTGGCTGGACGGATTGTGGTTGCACCTAACTGCTGAGGACTACTAGTCAATATAACATCTTAGGTTAAATTTGTTTTGGGGAGAGAAGTGGTGACGCCAAATTATACCAAAATTTTGGTTTTTAGCTGCCGAGTATCTTTTAAATTGGACATTTAATGTTGCTTTTAGTCTTTTAGATGATATTTTGCTAAATTTGATTTTTCACTATAGTTTTTCAATCTTCCGTAGTGTCTGTCTATGAACTAAAGTTTGAAGGTTAAGTGAGTTTTTCACTGGTTTAGGTAAGAGAAAGATGGTTGCAAAGACATTAAAGGGACAGAATAGGTTTAATGTGGTTGTCTATCTTTTTACATATGTGTCATGTGACAAAGTTATGTGATAGGATTCTCTTACTAATTATGAATAACGTGTGTTAGCAAGATGATCTATGATAATAATAACTTATTTTCTTATACTTCAAATCAAGCTAAGAGAGAACTGTCTTGTACCAAAAAAAGAATGCCATGTGAATTTGTCACAACCAAATACAATTCAAATATGCTAGTTTAAACATGGTACAAGGCAGCGTGTTATCTTCTTTGACTACTAAAGTCAAAATATTATTATTTTTATTTTAGGGAAATAGAAGGAATGTTGTAGGAAAGTTGTTAGGTTATGTTATAGGATAGAGATTGTGGGACTTATATATATATATTTTTTTTAAACAAGTGCGGATCCCACAACCTCTATCTCTATCAATTCTTATAATATTATACTTCTTTTTCTCTTTATTTTAAAGTACTTTTATAATTTGATCTAAACGTAAAATAGTTTTGGCTTTTAAAAAGTGTCATTTAATTAATAAAAAAAAGTATAAAAAATTACTTTTCTCAACCCTTCTATACGGTCATAAAACTACTTAACTCTCTTCTAACCATGATATGCTTTTCGCTGATAATACTAGCATTACATGGGGATAGGGGTGTAAATGGGCTAAGCTGGTCCAGCCCAGCCTACGGCCTGGCCTACATTGAGTCCGGCTCAGGCCCGACCTTTCAGAAAAGTAGAGTATGCTTAGGCTTATAAAAAAGCTTTTTTTTTTTTTTTTGATAACATAAAAAAGCTTTTTTAACAAATAGGCTATAAGCCAATTTTGTCAAGTCCGGCCTACAGCCTTGTAGGCTGGCCTATTTAATTTATTAAAATAAAATAATAAATTAATATTTATTTTATGTGGCAAAGACCAAATACCAATATCTCTTACTTTTTGTGTTATTTTATTTTATGAAAGGAAAACTTGTCTAATGTTTTCAAATTTTACATGTTGCAGCTTAATACTTGCTGGATTATGATGTTACTGATGAAGATCTTTCAATAACACTCTTATTTCCCTTGTCTTGATGGTGGTTTAAAGATTTTTAGATAAATGACATACTCTTATTTTCTCCATTTCTTTGACTCTATTCCTCTATGATATACATTCTAGAGCTGGGGTATTATGTTGACTCTTTCTTGTTTGTCATTTTTTTCTTATGAGAAGTACTAGTGCATGCATGAATGGAACTTTTTTTGCTCTATACAATTATTTTTTTTGCTTAGTATCTACAGTGGGAGTCCTACAAGGCCTGTAAGCGGCTTTCTTATTTTTAAAAATGGGCTGGGGTTGACCTACAAATAAAGTCTTTAATAGGTGGCCAGATAAGCTGAATTTTTTTTTACGTAGGCTTGGGCCAAGAAGGCCAAAACCCAGCCCAGCCCAGCCCATTTACACCCCTGATGGGGATGCTTAACTGATGGAATGTTGGAGTTTGGTTTATGGAAACAAATTGTTTTTGAGCATAGAAATCTGTTAATAATTGTTACTACCCGTCTTATGTCTTTCTATTATCTTTTTATTACTATATTTGATGACAAAAAAGATAACTAGTATTTATACGTTTTGAAACAGCAGTTTTATTAGTTTTGGATATTAAAACCATGCTAAATGTTAAGGAGGGTCACTAGTTATCAAGTTATCAATAACTGGGATTAAGATCTTGTTGCATCTACTAAACAAATTATATCACCTGCTGATTCACCTCGTCCATAGTATATGCTACTAGAGGTTTTTCTAATAGGAATATCAAGCTTAGGAAGTTCATTGGGTAGCTTTAAACCTAGTCTTCCCCTACAAACTTACATTAAGTTTGAAATCTCCATCACTGACACAATAACTGAATTTATCTTTTATAATATAATTAACTCCAATAAATGAGGATATTTGACTTATTCTAAGTTTTCTAATTAAATAGCCACCCTTTTGGTCATCTTTCCTATATCCCTCAAAGCAAGGCATCTTACGACTTATATCTAATGGTTTTATCATATGGACTGGAAAAAGGTAGAGAATTATAATGCAGACCTAGTGTTTCTGGGAACCATGTGAACAATTATCAACACCAACAAACTTAAGAAGTTAGCAAGGCTACTTCAGCTTAGAAGCATACAGAATGGATGTACCAGCAATTGGTGTAATGTCAGTCCCTTTGTCATGCCTATAATTGCTAGTATCCATTAATTGGTTTATTATTAAGGTAGATAATTGATTTGAATCCTTATTGTGATTCGTGCTCTATGGAGTTAGGAAATTTAAAATGTAAAAGCTTACTTCTCAGAACTCCACATATAATGTGAACTCATTTATTTCTTTTCCTCAATTTATAAGGCATAGCCCTTAAATATTGGTACATAAATGAGAGGCAGAGGAAATGACAAAATAAATTAACACCACACATTGTTTTGCTTCAAAAAGGCCATAGGTCACCCCAAATAGATCTTTTTGCCTGATGATGCAAGGTAGGATTCTTGCTCTGTGTTACAACAATACGGTCATATGAACCCTCTGAGGCATCCCTTTTGGTGGATCTACACACATTCATTGTGACCTGTCTACCCCTTCTGACAGGCATGAACACAATTCTGCCCCAGCCACCTCCAAGATCAGCACTAGCTGTTTCTTCTTCCTCTTCGTTGTCCTCTTCATTATCATCATCAGCATCAGCATCATCATCAGCTTCCAAAGCATCAGAATCATAAGTTACTGCATTTACTGCTTCACGAGGAGCATCATCAGCTTGTTGCAACTTCAACCAGTCCTCTGAAAAAGTGAAGAGAAATAAATAAAAATGGAAATGAATAGTTTATAACATGGAAAGTAAGCTGGTTGAATAGCTATTCAGATGATATATTTTTGTTCATGAGTATTTTAACAGAAAACAAGCATGCACAAGTGTAACAATCACCGTAGTCGATTTCAAGATCCTCGGGATTTCTTTTTGCATGTTGTTCCTTAAGAGTCTCAAATTTCACACCATCAAGGGGCCAAGGTTCCCTGGTCCAAGAAGAGCAAAAACATGTCCATAGGCTTGTTAAAATCTCGTGAAAAATAACTTGGCATTTTTTGTTATTTTATTTGTATATTGCTGAAGTTCAAACATGAAAGATTGAATTAAAACACTTGCCTCGGTCTTTGTCCTCGTCTGAAAGCAACATAGGAAAATTTCTCATCTTCAAAGCCACGTAAAGGTTCACCCTTTGAACGCTGCAGAATGATGAAATTTAGAACAGAAATAACTTCTAGTTATGTTAATCCTTACTGATATCAAATTAAAGGGGAAAGTAAGAATGTGGGGACAATAGATTATCTGACTCCTTCCAATACAGAGAGTAAAATATGGATTAAGGAGAAACCTTGTAGGCACGTTGTGATGATGTTCTTTCCAAGCGCTGAACAAAATGACAATATTTTCCAGATTTGACCAGTGGACAAGTCCCATCATGAGGACACTACATGAAGAAAATTCAGCAAATAAAAAGATAAGAATGGGACAGTCAGTGAAAGAGAGATCGAGTGACATTGGCAAACTGCAAAATTGGAAAACAATATTGAGTAAATATGTAATATACTTACAGGAGCAACTACAAAAGCACCAGCCTTCTGAGTCATCAAATCTTTGCAAACTTCATTGTTCTTATGAGAATATTTACGGTATTTCTACATAAGCATTAAATTCCATTCTTTGTAAGAATAAAACGTCAGGAAGAAAAACACACAATCATGATGAGAAAACAAAGAATTAAAAGATTATTTTATCATTCTTCAAACTTTTCTTAAAAGAAGTAATGAATTTACTCTTTCTTCCATCCATAGTATGTGAGATCTCATCTGAGCTATAATATTAGAGCCATGAGGTGTTCCAGGTTCAACCAAAACCTACAAGATTTTGATTTCACAAACGGAGATAACATTAGATATAAGGTTGAAAAGGATCAAACAAAATTCAAAAGTGCCCTTATTCAATACTTTTTAAAGAATTTTTTTTCTATACTTCATAAACATTTTTCTTTGCTCCTACTGCTTTCCCCAAATCACTGTTTTTACTTTCCCAAAAGTGTTAAAATGACATCATTCATATAAGTAGCATAAATCAGTTCTAGAAATTCCTTAAAAAACTATTAAGCTTGAAATCATACCAGAACATCCTTTGTTAGATCCCAAAGCTGGCGAACTATGGTAATTCGATCCTTTAGTGACGGGATCTCTCCAAGCACATAGGACTTCAGCCCATAAAACATATTGCAAGTAATAAGTATCCTTTTAAGAAAACATAGACAAATGCTTTATGGGTTTAATGTTTTTCCTATTGTAGGCAATAATTTATCTCCTACACACATAAAAGTGTGAGGGGCCATGAGAGGAGAAGAGAGAGAAATGAAAATATGATCCTCACACACCTTTATGTATGTGTAAGAGATAAATTTATCTCCTACAATATGAGAAACATTAATCCCATACTTTATATGCCAAATCTTTGAAATAATAATATCAAACAAAAGTATGTTCCTTCCAGCTACCTAAACAATGAAACTGGACGAGCAGAAAAAAACAGCTGAATTTGGTCAAAATTCAAAAATTGGATGGCAACAAAATTAGCCAAATTAGTTTATCTAAAATGACCCATATGCAAATAGTTGATTATCCTTTATGTATATGTTCAACATATGGTAGGGTTTAATAAATTAGTGAAGCAAAATAATCAGATCTTCAAATCCTTCTAAAATAGCTGTCTGTGAATTAGAGTTCGATGCATGAAACACAATATGCATAAACTGACAACTTTCATTATAGTTAAGTCACATATGGTATGGTGTGTAAAATTTTAAGTTTTGGTGACAGACATGATGTGGTTAGATATTTAGATTCTTGGTTTTGGTTGACAAGGATGTTGAAAGAAATTCATTATATATTACACATGCAATTTTTTTGTATCCGAATATTTTTATTTTAGCATACATGCCTAAAGTCAAAACAAATTAACTAAAACAATCCAACATGATTTGATTTCATCATTGAAGTCCATTTTATCTTTGAACTAATTTCATATTTTCCCAGGCCAATTAATATTGTTGACTTTTATCACCTCTAGACTCCACAAACTATGTTGAAGAACAAACATGTTGCTAATATATGTAAATAATCCAAAAGAATAAACTTACAGCAATTACGAGATCATGCCCCCTCTCTGATTTACCGATACTTTTAGAAAGTGCTTGAATGCTATCATAGCTATGAATAAGTGGCAAGTTCTTGAGACCTATATAATCAACAGCATAACAAAATTGGAAATTCATAGACTATTAAACACTTTATTCTCAGCTTTTCCCAGGAATTTCAAAAGGGAAAGATTTCAATGCATTCAATCCTAAACAGGGAAATTCACTACAAAAATTCATGTAACATACAATGCAATACATAAGGGGGAAATCATGGGACACAGTTGATGGTAAGGACTGTTAACTCATTTCAGTGACTGGTATGACTTAGGCATCATCACTAGAAAGAAGTATTTCAATCTCCAACTGAAGATCCAAATAAAATGAGACCTGTCAGACTATCTCTTTCAGAAATTTTAAAATCTTTTTGCAATTTTGCTGACAATCCTCTCCTATTAATAGAGTTCAGAGAGAATGAGACAGAGAGAGAGGGAAAACGAGAGAGCCATTGAGAGAGTTCGGAATATTAGAATATGAAAAAGGTTACAAATGAATACAAAGAACTAGTATTTATAGACTAGTGCTGACTCAGCCTTAAGGCAATGACTAATAACAAACAACAAACAGAAAGACTAACAGAATGAAGAAAAGATTACATACATCAAATACAGCTGAGCAAATATACATCGGATAGAGCTAAGCAAGTTAGAGATCTAGAGTATTCTAGATACTCCTAATACACCCCCCTCAAACTCAGGGATTTTGGATAGGCAAGGCAGAATCCAAAACCCTGAGTTTGTGTCTCAACTCAACGAATCTTGTAGAGGAAAGAGCCTTAGTGAGAGTATCCGCAACTTGATCAGAAGCCGGAACATGAGATACAAGAAGTTCTTTAGCCAGAACTCTTTCACGAACAAAAAATATATCTAACTCCATATGCTTGGTGCGGGCATGTAGGATAGGATTATGAGAGAGCCGCTATACTCAAATTGTCACAAAGAACCAAGGGAGTGGAAAAGGAAACATTCAGTTCACGCAATAAGGACTGTTTCCACAAGAGTTTTGCACAAGTGAGAGCTAAACGTCTGTATTGAGCTTCGGTACTGGATCCTGCCACCAAAGATTGTTTCTTGAACCACCATGAAACAAGATTGGGGCCCAAGAAAAGACAAGCACCAGATGTGGAATATCTGTCATCAGGATCACTAGCACAATTTGCATCATAGTAAGCTATGAGAGAAAGAAGGCCATTGGAAGGAGCAAAACGTAAATGTAAGCCAAAAGAGCAAGTGCCTTTCAGATATCTAAGAATTCGTTTCACAATCCTCCAATGCTCAACAAGAGATTGAGCAATAAATTGGCAAACTTTATTGACAGCAAAGCTTATCACAGGTCTTGTGATCATGGCATATTGGAGAGCACCAACAATTGACCTCTAGTGAGAAGGATCATCAAAATAATTGGAACCATGTTTAGTGAGCTTGCAACAAGAAGGCATCAGAGTAGCTATGCTCTTTGCATCATGCATGGCAGATCTGGCTAAAAGATCACGCATGTAATTAGCTTGACAAAGGAAGATAACATCAGGAGCTCTGATCTCTTAACTTCAACACCTAGAAAATAATCCAAATCACCAAGATCTTTAAGAGCAAAAGTGGAGTGAATTTGAGTTACCAATTGCTGGATGTAAGCTGCATCATTTCCGGTAATAATGATGTCATCTACATACACCAGTATGTAGATGCACTTGCTGCCAAAATGAAAAAGGAATAGAGAAGGATCATAGCAGTTGGAAGAAAAACCTAGATGAGAGAGACACTACTTTATCATATCAAACCAAGCCTGCGGTGCTTGTTTAAGGCCACAGAGAGCCTTGTTAAGTCTGCAAACCAATTTCTTGTCACCACACTCAAAACCTGGAGGTTGAACCATATAAACTTCCTCCTCCAAATCCCTATTTAAAAAGGCATTATTAATGTCTAATTGTCGAAGAGGCCAGCTATGAGTGAGAGCTAGAGTCAACATAATTCCACTTGTAACTAGTCGAACAAAAGGTGAAAAATTTTCATTGTAGTCAAAGCCAGCTTGTTGATGAACGTCTTTGGCTACTAACCTTGCTTTATACTTGTTAATTGTAGCTTCAGCATTCTCCTTCACTCGAAAAACCCACTTGCACCCTATAGGAGACCTGTTAGGAGGTAAAGACACAAGAGTCCAAGTATTGTTAGCCTTAAGAGCATTAAATTCAGTATGCATAGCCTCGGTCCAATGGGGATTAGAAAGGGCCTGTTTGACTATAGAAGGTTCAACATGACTAAGGAAGGTAATAGAACGAGCAAAAGTCTTAGATATAGTGGTATGGAAAGTGTGTGAGAAGAAACACTTACTGAAGTTGAGGGAACATGCTCAAATTGAGAAGTAGAAGGAGATAAAGACTCCGAAGTGAAAACAATAGTTATAGGTGACTGGACAGCAGCAGAAGAGGAGGATGCAGTGTGAGTAGGAGTGGGTAACGATGAAGAATTATCAGAACAAGGATTAGAAGAATTAGAAGTGTTCTTACTGTTTGAACAAATAGATAAAGGAGTGGGAGACTGTTGATTGCTAGAAGAAGTGTTTGAAGAGACAGAATGCACTACCTCTTGTGACTGAGATGAACTAGTGTGCTCTTGTTGCTGTGTCAAACTAGACAAGGACAAGGGTGGGTGACACATTAGGGGAACAACAGATTGACTGAACATGGGGGAGGGAGAATCCTTACTAGAAGTCCATGAGACAAAGGGGAAGTGATACTCATTGAAGAGAACATCTCTTCAATGAAAATTCTGCCTTCAGGATTTTGGCAAATGTATCCCTTTTGACTAGAAAAAAACCCAGAAATAAGCATTATTGAGAACGAAATTCCAGCTTGTTTTTGTTGTAGGGACGAAGAAACGGAAAGCAGGAACGACCAAAAACTTTGAGAAATTGATAATTTGGAGCAGATTTAAATAACTTGGTGTAAGGGACAACATAGGCCAAAGCTGTTGTAGGAAGACGGTTAATAAGAAACACAGCTGAAGTAAAAGCAAAATCCCAAAACTTTAAAGGAAAAGAGGCATGAGAAAGAAGAGTGAGACCTGTTTCCACAATATGTCTATGTTTGCGTTCCACAACACCATTTTGATGTGTGTGAGGACAAGCTAGGCGATGCAAAATTCCATTGAGTTTGAGATACTGAGGAAACACTCTAAATTTTCCTCCCAAAATCAGTTCGAATGGCTTTGATAGTAAGTTGAAACTGAATAGTTAAACCACTGAATGAAACTGTTTGAAAATGGATAAGGCATCAGATTTTTGTTTTAATGGATAAATCCATGTGTATCTAGTGTTAGCATCAACGAAGGATATATGGTATGAGTATCCAGAAACTGATTTCACTGGGGTAGGTCCCCAAAGATCACTGTAAATTAGTTCAAAAGGAGCATTATAGACAGTAGAGGAAAGTGAAGAGGGTAAGCAATGAGCTTGGCCAATGAACAAGATTTACAAAAATCCAAAACAGTTTTATTATTGAATGCAATGTTGCAAGAAGTGAGTACATTTTTAACAACCTCATTATGTGGATGTCCTAGACGACAGTGCCACAAGAAATACATTGAATGTGTTTCACAATTGATAGGGGAAGAAATAGGTACATTCTGCACTAATTTACAACAGAAAAAGAATGTGTACATGGTGTAAATGTCGAGTTATTACAAATGGAAGGACGCTGAACTACAACATTTAAGTTTTTATTTGAATAAGACTCTAAAGAATGAACTTTGTCTTGGGGAATATTGACTCTAGAAAAACAATACCAGCCATCTTGACCAACATTGCCTTCAAGAAGAATCTTACTGGACCCCTGCGATTTAACATAACAAACATTGGGATGAAACTCAAAATACACATGATTATCTTGAGCAAACTTACTCACACTGATCAAATTCTTCATAATGGAAGGAACATGAAGCAAATTTTTCAGGTGAAGTTGTGTGAGTCAATGGTGAAACAAATTTAGAAGAACCTGTAACATTTATGGTCAAACATTGGCCGTTTCAAATTAGAACTTTATCGGACCCAAACAATTGCTAGCTCTGCAACAAATTCAAAGGATTAGCTGCAATGTGATGTGAGGCTCCAGAATCAGGGTACCACTCCAGGGCAGGTGGTGTTGGAGGAGTTGGAAGATGTTCAGGCTGCACAGCAAGCATGGCTTGAGGATAAGCAAGATTATTGACCTGACGTACATACTAGAAGGAACGTGGTTGATGTTGAGGAGGAACATTGAAGAATTGTTGATTCATTACACCAGTGGGAGTAGGAAGGGCGGGAACAAAGTCCTCATCATATCGATGCCAACAAGAGCGAACGTCGTGACCAAATTTGTAACAAAGTTGGCAATAGATGTTTGCACAATTCCCATGCCCTGTTCCTCTATTGTTTCTACCATTAAACCTTCCTCGACCATGATTAGATGAACTTGAAGGAGCAGAACCTCCATGTTCACTGTTTGAAGTGCTCAGGTTCATGCTCTGTTTCTAATCCGCTAAAACAGAGATAAACAGAGCACCTTCTTCTCCTGTTTGCTTTTGATTCTGAACATGATAAGTGAGATTAACAATGCCAAAATCATTGAGAAGACTTTCATTTTGCTTTAACAGAAATTGTTCATGTGCTAAGAGTTCTACTGCAAGATCATCGAGTGCATACTATTTTTCGCATGTATGAACACTGAGAACAAACGCGTTATACTTCGACGGTAAACCTTCAAGAATATACTCAATGTGTTGGTCTTCTGGCACTGGACTCTTTATAGCTTAAAGAGAATGACAAAGAGATTTGATATGTGTAACATCACAAGGGCTGGCAAGGGTAGGGAGTAATCGTCGGTGCAAAAAGAAGAATGGACAATGAGCGGCTTGTGCCAAATCTTATAACTAGGGGGATACATGAATGAATCGAATCAATACCTGAAAGAGAGAGATTTCAGAGACTGTGCTGGTATGGAACGGTACAGTTAGGGATAACTTATAAGAATTAATTGGTACTACTTATACTAACAAAATGCATCTACTTTTCAGCAGCCCGAAACGGAGGAACTCCATAGTTAAACGTGCTTGACTTGGAGCAATTATGTGATAGGTGACCTCCTAGGAAGTTTTCCTAAGAAGAGTGTGAGTAACGACAAAGCACGCTGAAAAGTCTCGTGTTAGTTTATGGGGACAAACATTAATCCTTGCAAGTTGCCGAGTGTCACAAGTGGTATCAGAGCAGGTCTTTCTCCCAATACAGTGTGGTTTGAAGACGAACCACACCGAAGCTAGTAGGAATGTAATATCCCAAAGGCTAGCAAAGGTAGGGAGTGATCGTCGGTGCAAAAAGAGACACGGACAATGAGCGGCTTATGTCAAATCTTGCAATTAGGGGGTTCATGAATGAATCAAATCAACATCCGAAAGAGAAGGATTCCAGAGACTGTGCTGTTATTGGGGATAGCTTTTAAGAATTAATTGGTACTAGCTATACTAACAACCCGAAACGGAAGAACTCCATAGTTAAACATGCTAGACTTGGAGCAATTCTAGGATGAGTGACCTCCTGGGAAGTTTTCCCAGAAAGTGTGTGAGTGAAAACAAAGCACGCTGAAGAGTCTCGTGTTAATTTGTAGGGACAGTCATTGATCCTTGCAAGTTGCCGAGTATTAGAATGCGCGACAGATATTCTTGAATCGTTTTACCTCATTTCTCTATCGATTTGAGTTCACATCTGAGATGTCTCGCTCTCGACTTCATCAAACCATGGAAGAGTTTATGAATTTTCTCCCGTGCTTCATATGAGTGTCGCACACCAAGTATTTCATTAACAACTGGTTCAGAAAGAGTAGAGAGCAACCACGTAAGGAGCATCTGATCTTGTGTTAATCATTCAGTATATTCAGGATTTATCTCCTCATTCTGACGATCTTCCTCTACAGAAACTTTAGTGGAATCTTAGGATTTGCCAAGAAATGATGGAGAAGATGTAAAGTGATTATTCAACTATCTAATTCCAAAACAGATAGTTCTCTTCTGTCAATTTCACCGAGATCTAGTAGTTAAACAGAGAAGGAGCCTTGTTTTCCATAGAAGGAGCTTTATCTACGGTGGATCTGGTTCCACTAGTTCGACTAGGAGAAGACGAAGTGGAAGCCATGAAAGAAAAAGCAAGAAATGGTTCAGAGCCCTCGATCTGAGGGCTCTGATACCATAATAGAGTTCAGAGATAATGAGATAGAGATAGAGAGAGAAAACGAGAGAGAGCCATTGAGAGAGTTCTAAATATTAGAATATGAAAAAGGTTACAAATGAATATAGAGAATGAGTATTTATAGACTAGTGCTGACTCAGCCTTAAGGCAATGACTACTAACAAACAACAAACAGAAAGACTAATTGAATGAAGAAAAGATTACATACACGCTAAGCAAATATACATCGGATACAGCTAAGCAAGCTAGAGATCTAGAGTATTCTAGATACTCCTAATACCTATAATAGATAAACCAACCCTTATCTGTTTTCTTTACTGTTTTTAATTTTTCCTTTCAAGTATATTTTTCACCTTAAAAGGAGAAAATCATGCTTGTTCTAAGTAAGATTAATATTACTTCCTCTAACAACTGCTTGAAAGTTGAAAAAATGAGCAACTATTGAGTAAGCCCTTTGAAGGTTCTTTCAGTCAGCAATAGCCACACAATAATTTAGAGAGGAATAATTTTGCAGCAACCAATCTGCACGTCCAACCAGCAGCATTGCTATCACTTGTTACGTGCTTTAAGATACTAAAGAGTTGATTTCCCAACTTGAATTATAGGGTCAGGATCATTTTACACCAGTGTAAGTTACACTCTCAATCTTGTTCGTTGATCCCATTTATATCTAAGGGCTCAAAATTTTTAGTAAACTGAGTCATTGGATAGAAGTTAATCAATGGTCAAGATTGAATGTAAGACTTCTAACTCTTACACTGGTGTAAGAATATCCTGCCCCTGAATTATATTATGATATTTCCCAAGATTTAATCACCTTCATCTTTTATTCATAATGTAGGACAAATAATCAAACCAATTCCAATTAAGTCATATGCATTATGCGAACACCCCTAAAAGATATCAATAAGAGGGGTCATAATCGATCAACCAAAAACCTAAATAATAAGGAATGAATTTTATGTACACAATGATGACATATTATTTTATCATCAGTGCACCTGAGCGATCTCACTCAATATCAAGACCACTGCAGCACCCTCCGAAACATGGCCTTGGTCATACATACCAGGGATCGTGGAGTGCATGACCTAGACTACCAAAATTCTCAACGCAAGTCTTAATGAAATAATAAAGAATGAAAAAATAGATAAAATTACTCTCTCTCTCTCTCTCTCTCTCTCTCTCTATATATATATATATATTAATTAAGAAAAGAGAACGCCGTGTTTTAATTATTAAAACATTTACAAAATCTACTAAGTGTTTTTAGTAACAATGTTTCACATTCAGTTTTAATCATTTAAAGATTGAAGTGTATAGTTATCTTTCATCTTTTCTGCAACTTTGGAAGAATAGGATTTGTTTCTGCAACTTACAATTGTTGATCTTATGTATCATTTAATACAAAGACTACTGAACTTCTAATCAAGTCTAATAAAGTACTCAAACTTTTAGAAGGTGACCAAAGTAAGTTCCCCAAGAGAATCAACACACAAAATAGCAAATAAGCCAAGCCCAAACATACACCCTTCAACATATAACACATCTAGCAGTGTGATGTATATCATCCTGATAATTATATTTGCAGTATAATATGGCAGTTATTACGGATTACTCATTCCTTTATGCATTAGGACATGGAAAGGTGCTCAGCTCTCTAGTCAAGCATACAAATAAATTTTTAGCACTTAAAAATTCACACTAAATTCACTAATTATAAAATAGATAATTTGTTTACTGAAAAGAAAAAAGATAATTTAAGAATAATGTAAAATAATGAGGAATATACTAATCTATAAGCCATAAGCTTTAAATTGAAGTTACATTTCATTATTACAACATAATTAAAAATGTATATCTCAATGGACCCTCTCCCATTGCTTGAAAATGTACATTCCAAGTTGGGTTGTTGCCCTTATAGCCTTCTTCTAAAACTTAATATTCTTTATCCTCCCTTGCCTCAATTTGAAAGCATTAAGAAACCTATGTTGTTTGAAAAAGCTAATAAGCATTTACCTTGTATGAGGCTTCGACCCGCACGCTGCATTGACTGTGATGGTTCTATTAAATTAACTTTCTCTAAAGATTTTGGCCAAACTTCTTGCAGTGCCCTACATCATAAGATTTGAAAGGAAACCAATTAATTCAAGAAACAACATAACTAAAACTTATAATATCAAAGTTAACCATTCACCAGAGCAACGTTCAAGAGTTTTTTACCAGAAAGCTGAACCCGTCCCGGCACCAAAATCCAATACCTTAGCTGGGGAGAAACCAGGAAGCCTTCTACGAACCTAAAAGGACATAAAATAAAGAATTCTGTTGAGATTAAATTTAACTTCACCAACATCTTATTCAAGACTGAAAGGTTTTGTTTTTCATTATTCAGTTAAGAAAAAATTTGAAGTGAATATAAGTCAAGGAGATACAAGGTTCACACCTTAAGGAAACTGAACCATAAAGTAGCTGATACTACATCTATATGATACGACTTGGAAAAAAAAAAGATGGAGACAGAAGGCACTCTAACTCTAATCCCACATATAAGGGATTACCGATCATTATTCACTCTGACACATGAATTCAGGTCCCCTGTTTGATTAAATTTAGTCCTAAAATTAACCACCAGAGTTTTTGCTTCCATATGCAAATCAGCTCTCATCTGACTGTCACTACATCTCATACGAGCATTCATGTATCATTAATCCTTTTTATTTTAGTTTCAACTTAAGCAACCCCTGCCATTGAAGAAATATTATTCATTATAGTCCTAATGTTTGCTTATACATGGATGCACTCAAAACTATATTTCAAACATCCCTTCCCTTCTTTTAGTTTTAACTGGCTTCATCTTTTTTATTTTTCAAACAAATGAAAGGATAAAGATGAACATAAAACAAATATCTCGAAATATCCATTACAACTTGTGATGTCATAGTTTCAAACACCAACTATTTAATGATATGCCCTTACTTCTTTCATTGATAGCTTCTTACTATTTCTTCCCTGTCTGGATTATGTTTTCCACTTACCTCTTTAAGTACTCTATAACAAGCGGAGTACACCGCAGGCATTCTAGAAGCCACATAAGCAATTGTCTCATCCTCTCTATACGTGAGACCAATATCGCCATAAGAGCTCTTAATCTTCCAACGTTTTGATTGTTCAAGAGACTTTAAAGGGTCTTCAACTATCTCCTTCGATGTAGTGGTTGCCAGCTGTAGATTGACATCCTTGATTTCCTTGAACGATTGAGACAATCTCAAGACTTTCCTCTTCATATATGGCTCCTCCTGCTCTATAATTCCAAGACCACCATGAAGAATTGCAACCACACAAACATAAATACCCCAAGATATCTAGTGCATATTAGGAGAAAAGGCAAACACAGAGAAAGAACACAAATGACCTTGAAGGTACTTTTTAATGGCACGGCGAAGAGGGACAGGGACAACAAGGCAACGTTGGGATTGTTTGGCTGCATACCGGAGGGTTTCAGGGGTGACAATTTTCTGTGCAGTTTCAGCTATTGTCTGGGTAGCCATGCTGGTCCAGGATTTAACAGAACCTCTCCTTCTGGTCCAAGCAACCAGGTTCCTATATCACTATGAATTTAGTAAGTTAGCCATAGATTTATAAATAAAATCAAAATCTCATAGAGGCACCTAACACTAGCACCACAAAATTGAAAAACAAACAAACTAGACTGAATTAAAAAGATAACATTTTTTGTTCACATCAATTTTTCTCATTTCCATCTCTTCTAAGGAAGAAGCGAATGGTAAGAGAACCAAAAAATATCAATATGCTAAGTTTGTTCTCTTACAAACTAAGTAGCTCATTTTCTTATTCATTCTCTTGAAATGTTCTAAATGTTTAAAGAAGCACAGATATTTGAAGTTTAGTCTAAATTAAATGGATTCAAAATTTACAAATAAAAAATTAAAAAAAAAATCATATGAATTCACCAGCCAAATTAAGCGTAGACAGCATACCAGCCACCCTAAGAATTTAGATCCGAACAGTTCAGAACCAAATTTGAAAATTGAAAACTGCGAAAACCCATATCAGAAAATACTTGGGTTTCTCACATTCACGTGTTTACAGCATCAAAATTTGAACTTTTTTTTTCTCAGAATCCAATAGAAATTCAGCAAATAAACGGTTCATTAATGAACCCATATTAGTTTTTTTTTTTTTTCTCAGAATCCAATAGTTTATTAGTTCATTAATGAACCCATAATTAAATATCATTTACCATTAGCTAATAAATAACACAGACTATGAGGCAATATAATAATATAATAATGTAAATGATCAAAATTAGTTTATGAGTAGCCCCCTTATTCATCACATTCACAAGCATAAAAGGATATAAAAAGAGGCTATAACGCGCGAGTGAAAGAGTACAAAGATTCTATTTTATGCATATATTAAAGTGTACAAAATAATTATAACTTTTTAACTGCAAGGTGTATCAGAAGAGAATATTTTTTAATACACCCCTTTAAATTCTTACAAGAGTTTTGTTTCATTATAACAAGTTTATGTTATAGTTTTATTCATGAAATTAGATTTAAATTTAATTTATTCAAAATAATCATTTTTATTTCTCATATAATAGAGACCCGAATGATTTCAGAGGTTAAAAATAGGTGCCCTTTTATTAAAAAAAATTAAAAAGATATATAATCAAATTATTTTTTTTGAAAATATTAAACAAACAACTTTTAAGATAAGGAGCAGAAGTAGAAAGGAAAAGAGAATCAAGAGGTTCAGAAGTGGCACGACCAGTTTGATTATGAAGCTTGTGTACTTGCCTATATAATCAAGTTTGATTATGAACCAACTGTTTTTACAGCAAAAACACAGAGCACTATCAATGGCCTAAAACCTACCACGTGCCAACCACTCACTTTCACCTTAGTGGTTAAGCATCTCTCTATTTCCCTTTAATATTTGTGTTAAGAGAGAGAAAATTGAACTCCTATGTTGTTACCCAAGTTTACATAAAATTTTATGGGATTGCCTCCACTACTATACTATTCCCCCACAAGTAGCAACCAAACCACCCCACCACTTCTCTTTCAGCACACACAACTTCAAGTTATTTTTGAGAGCATAGATAATCATAACGAAATGATACTAACTTGAAAAAATAAGCCCAAGCTAAATTATAAAAATCTGAAAAGTTACTTTAATAATATCATCCAAATTATCAGAATTTTTTAACATACAGTAAAATATTTTATAAGTACTAAGAATAAAGATGATTATATTCCAAGGACACGGTTACGTTTAATTTGTAAAATATGCTTTTTCACAATTCCTCGTTTAGCAAATTAACTAGTTAACGCTGCTGCGGCTTTGATCATGCAAACGGGTGACGTCAAATTTTGTGGCTAAAACATGTAAGAAATAGAGGTACATCTTAAATCAAAATCGTTTGGTCATATCAATACCTATCCATTATTCATACAACAAGTACATATCAGAAACAGAGAAACCCTTAACTCATGAGATATATATATATATAGAGAGAGAGAGAGATCAGTATATATGATAACTCATATGAACTTAGAATTGAAAAGTTGGATATTATCAAGTTTTAGAATTAGGAACACAGATTAGTTCCACATGCTTTCACCAAAAAAAATAGTTACTGAAAATGGAAATAATCAAACAATCAAATTACTGAAAATGGAAACAATCAAATAGTTACAGAAAATGGAAACAATCAAATTAACAACCCACACACAACTATTCCATTGAATTTGGTTAAGATTCTACTAATACCAGAAGTAGAAAGGACCGTTAGACAGAACGTAGACTTTAACAAAAACTATTACGATTTATAAGTGAATATTTGCAAGAGTTCTTACAAGATACAGAATTCTCTGTTTCAAACATGAGATATATATACCATTTGTGATATCCAGGACAAACAAGGCTTCTAAAACGGTTGGTACAGGACTTGGATGGAAGCCTTCAAGGGTTTCTTATGAGAGTAAAAATCAGAAGGCCTTCAAGTTTTGTTATGAGAATGGATCAGCAGAAAATGTAGCATCTAAGCCAGGTTCAGAACTTAATAATAGGTCTTCAAGTGAGGAAATTATAATATCATCTCCAAGGGTGCAACCTTCTAGTTCTCTACCTAAATTAATGATACCTTATAGTGAAGAGGCTTCAAAATCTTTAAATTAATGATGCAGAGGCCACCTGAGCTTAATGCAAGTAATGTTTGTCACATGCAACACGAAGAATTTTGAGAGCATACATAACCATAACGAGAAAGTTGGCACACTGCAAGACAAGATAGACTAATTAAGGTCTCATACTAGAGAATGTGGAAGGGAAGTGTAGTAGCCTATAACAAAAAGTACTTTCCTTACTCAATACCAAATGCTTATAGTCCAAGCTAAATAATCGGATCTTGTTAAATGAGATCCTGAAATCTCACCACTCCATTTCACCATCCAATTCACCCTTAGGTTCCCATTTAACATAAATACGGTCCTAAACCAAACATCTAAAATCCTTAGACTAGACATTAATCATGATAAAATGAAAATAAGAAGCTTAAACTTTTTTCACTGACCACGTCTGAAATTTATTTTGCAAACCATATCTTCCTGTTTCACACTACAACTCATTGATGATTGTGAACCATCATCTATCACCAAACAAACAAAGAACCCCAGTACACTAATATCATGGCTCCATGTTCAAAACACTATAAAATAGCAGAAAACATGAAGAATTGAAAGAGGGAGGGAAGCAAATTGAAACCCAAAGAGGCAAAAAAAGAAAGAAAGTTCAGAGCTTGGGAGAGGGGATTGAATTACCAACCGGTTATTTTTGAAATGCAAGGTGGTTGGAGTTTGAAAGAAAGGTCCTTTGAGAGAGAAGGCGCGTGGAATGGGACGAGTGGAAATTGCAGGTAGAGACAAGAACGACGCCATTTTGGTTTATAGGGGATGAATTCAGCTCACACACTTAGCTTAGCACATGAAGATGAAGTAACTAAATATATTTTAGAATGCAAATGCAAATGCAAATCTGGCACAGAAATGGGCACATCAACTGAGAATTAAACGAAAAACCTAAAGACCATACAAAGCAATCAAAGATCCAAAGCGCGCATTCACATATATGAGAAGAAGACAACAGTGAAATGAGCAAGATACGAGGTAAAAGATCCAAGGCGGTTTCGACCCCAATATTTGAGATTCACTAATATAATGAATGTAAATAAAATATACCTGAGCAATACCATGTATATATCAGAAAAAAATGAAATATGCACCTTAAATGAAAAAGCTCCCTTAGTTGCAAAAATCAGCTTTGAAAGCTACCAGCATCAATTGGTTGAGAAGGGGTCACCGCCACGGGACACGGTGGTTGCGAAGAGAGGCGAACTGAAAGTGAAAAATAATGAAAGGAGGGAAGTGAAAAAGAATCAGATATTGAGCTATGAATATAGACAACTCGTTACCTTGGAAGAGGTAAGCGCCGGACAGACCACCGGAGAGACCCACTTGAAGGCCGAAGAGACTGTAAGGAACCAAAAGGAGACCACCGGAGAGACCCACTTGAAGGCCAGAGAGACCCTAAGGAACTAGAAGGAGCCAAACAATTGAAGAGTGAAATGAGAAATTGGAGGGAGATGTGAGTGGGAGAGGAAAAATTGGAGGTACGATGCAGTGAAATGAGAGCAGTGAAAGTGAGAGCGAAAGGGAAAAGAGAGGCATTTTTTAACCTAACACCTATATCCTAAAACATAAAATAGAATCTAAAAAGAAAAAACAATTACACTATACGTAAACAAAAAAATATATATTAAATTAAAAAATAGAATACATAGATATAATATTAATAATAATCAAAAAAAATATGAATCAAGACTATAAAAAAGAATATATATATATATATATATATATATATATATATATATATATTCAGTAGAATATGAATATCAAAAATAGAAAATTAAATAATAAAAATTATTCTATTAATAAAATTCACAATTATAGTCTTTAAAACCCCACCCAGTCCTCTGGGTTGACCCGGGTCAACCCTGACTCCTTCCCTCTGAAGGTTGGAGTCACAAGTTGGACACTATATGCACATCGACCCCTCTGACCTCCAAAATCCGGCCGAGTTTCAGTGACTCCCGGATCAAAGGGGTCAGAGAGGGTCACTGCATTTTTAAAAAAAAAGTTCCATGAAACAACATTGTTTTATTAAAAAATAAAAATAAAAATTCCACTTAATTATATATATCTTTAATGTATAATAATAATTGAAAATTTATTTAATTAAAATATTAGGTATAATTTATTTTATTTACAATATTTATTAACATAACTTTTATCTATAATATATATTAAAATTTAGAGAAAGGATATTGGAACAACCATTAGTGTTACTACCAATCAATTCCATCGTTAGATCGATTATGTTGATCCAACGGTTATATTTATTTTCATCTATGTATGGTTATGATCCCTCATATTCACATTAAATATGAGGAATCATAATCATACAAAAGTAAAAATAAATATAAAAGCCACCATTAGATATGAATAATGAGTCAAGAATATGTCAAAAAAATTCCAGTACGATCAGATGGTAGATGAAAGAGATATCGAAAAATAATCAAGGACCGAAATTTCTCGTATTCTACAGGCCTCCAACCAGAAATGCCATTATTGGATATGAATAATGATGAGTCAGGAATATGTCAACAAAATCTCAGCTCGATCGTATGGTAGATGAGGATATATCGAAAAATGATCAAGGACTGTTCATTCTTGTTCTTAAATTAGCTTATTTTCTGAAGGTTTCTTCTATCTTTTCTCTTATTGTGATTGATTTCGCTTGTATTATTGTCAGTAAAATGCTACTCACACATATTCAAAGTTATATGTGTGTGTGTGTGAGCTCCAATCAACAAACTGACCGTTAAATATGAAGTATAATGAGTGTAACCCTTGCTTAAAGTATTTCAGCACGATCCAACGGTGAACTTAAGAAAAAAAAACATTTTATCAAGATTCTTGCCTGCGGTAGAATCATACACACAAACCACTTTGGTTTGAAATTTCTGGTGATGCTACTAACAGAATCTCAGCTGGATCGAACGGTACATGAAAGATATATCATAGAATGATCAAAGATTATTCCTTCCTCAATTCTACTGTGAAGTTTCTGAAATGGCTCTCTCTATATTTTCTCTTATAGTGACTGATTTTCACACTCCTTTATCTTCAAAATGTTATTCACGCATGTTCAAAAGACTGCTGAACATCTTGAATTGGGAACCCTAGCTTTCTTTATTGGGCTGGACTTGACTTTTAATTAAGTGGTTAAAGCCCAACTACAAAGACCAATGCCTTTTTTGGTGGCATCGAAAGCATGTGTCACTTTTCATTTACCTTCTACAGTGGTGACGACGAGGGTGGTTGGAACAGAAATCTTTCAGACATTTTTCTCTGCTTCTCACTATTGAACAATTTTTACACACACTTTAAATATCAACAGTCTTATCTTTCCTATGACTAGTTGACATAGGCACTACTGTCACTACATGCACTCAATGTCTGGATGCGACGACATATTTAATGACTTTTTCTCATATGCATGATGCGGCGACCAATTAATGTCCTTGTCCTTTTTAATGCCCTTATCCATTTTAATGACTTTCCCTCGCAATTTGCGAGGGAATATATTCCCTCTTTCCCTTGCAATTTGCCATGAACTATATTCCCTCGCAATTTGCGAGGGAATTTGAGAGGGAATATATTTCCTCGCAATTTGCGAGGGAATTTGCGAGGGAAATTATGAATTTTCAGTTGCATTTTTTTGTCCTAGATCTTGCGAGGGAACTTCCGTCGCCAATATTTTCGCTCGCTAGTTTTCGGTTTCCGTCACAGACTTATGATGTTTGCAAGGATTTTGAATTCCCTCGCAAATTGCGACGAAAATGCAACCGATCTGCAAGGGATTTTGCGACGATGTTGTAGAAACAGAAAATTCGCCTATTTTCCGTCGCAATTGTATTTCCGTCGCAAATTCTGTTGCAGTTTGCAAGGGAAATTTTCCCTCACAAATCTCCCTCGTTATTCTCGCCTTTTCTAGTAGTGATTAAACACATAAGGTAAACCCCATAAGAGAACAAATAAATATCACCTTCACTTGCAGACTGAGAAGCACAACACGTGTCGTGAAGCTCGTCGAAGGAAAGGTTGGTGGTGGTGGTGCTGTGTGTGGCGGGGAAGAACAATGATAATAAACCCTTCTTAAGCCCCTTCTCTCTCTTTTTTTCTCGTATTATTAATATTTATTTTTTTACATTTTAAGTATATATTTTTTTTAAATCAACTATCATTCATAACAGTCAACTTTGTTCGAATCAAAAATATTCACATTATGGAAACTAACTCTCCCAACAAAGATTTTATGCATTCACAAAAATTGAAATTCAAGATCTTATTTGAGCGAAATCAAATATATATCACTTAAACCAACCTCTTTAATTTTTAAATTTATAACTGATGCATAAATTTTTGTTTTTTCATCCTTCTTATTAGCTATGTTTTTACTTAGTTTTTTTAAAAAGTGAGCTTTATTAATAAAATAAATAACTTTTAAAAGTGTACAGATAAATTGATTTTTTTATTGTTCAAATGATTATTAGGTAAACTTATATACATTTTCTTTAATTTATATTCTTTGTAGTTTATCCTAAATAATTGGCATAATTTTGAATAGTTGAGTACTCGGACAACCTTATACTAAACCCTAAGAGTAGTTTAACCTAAATAATTGGCACAATTAAGAATCACTTGTTCTCTTCAATCAAAGGAACTTTTGAAGCTTGTAACAAGGCTTAGGTTTAGGTAGGAGTGTTTGGACTTGGCTAATTTAGAGTGATGAACACTGGTTCTTTTCTTTCTCTTTAGGAATAACTTCTTTGTATTCATTGGAACATCTTCATTGTGACTACTTTTCTGACTTACTTTCCCTTTTGGGAGCATTTATCTTTTCTTTACTTTGACAGTAGTTTCTTTCTCTTCATTTTGACGTTCCTTGAGATTTTTTTGGCTCCTTCAATGTTGGTGTTCCTACTTTTGTCGTTCCTTGATATGAATTACTTACTTCTTGAGACGGGTGATGGTGACTATGGAAATGATACAATGGTTGGCTTTTGGCTTGAATTGACTGAAAGATAGCCCTTTTCCTTTTGAAGTTTCCAAGTGATTCTGCAATACTAAAAGTGTCAATGCAAGTTCGGGAACGAGAAAACTCTGAAACACTCTCTTTGAAAAAGTTTAGTGTTTGGATTTTGTTCCTCACCGTAGACTCACTCAGATAACAACCTAAACATTCCTAAGATTCAAAATTTAACTTTTCTTCTTTACCTTTTTTAAAAATTCTATTTTTGAGTTAACTTTGGTACTTAACACCTAAATGTTTTTGTTTTTGTTTTTCTATACAAACAAGCAAACAAAAGCAAGAGAATTATTCAAAGTGTAAACAACAAAATAGGGCATTTTGTTCCAAAACAACAAATGATATTACCAAAACAGTAAACATTATAATATTCAACAGCAAAATTCAAAACTTCTACAAACACTAGAGCTTTCAAAACAACAAATAAATAAAGTTGAAGTCCTAAGAATTAAAAGTTGCAAAAAATTAAAAACATTGTAGAAAAATAAAAATTGGACGGATAACAAAGATGTGGTTGGTTTATTCAGGGTTTCCCCCTATCTTCTTCTTCTTGTTCTTTCCTTGTTTGCCTCGCTTCTTCTTCCAGCTCCTTCCTTTTTATCTCTTTTTTTATGGTGGCAGCCTCTGCAATCTTGAAATTAGGTTCCTAATTTCAGCCTCAGGAAATCGTCTCTGCAATTTAAGCAGTAGATCAAACATCATGTTAATATGATTATTTATATAGCCTTATTGCTGACTTCTCTTCAACGTCATCCTTGACATGTTGCTCCACCTCCATCAGCCTCAGTTCATTGCTAAACTCCAGTAGATATTTCCCGAAGGCTTGTTGCACTTCATTAGAGTCCTTCCTACTTTCAACATCTTTCTCTAGGAGTTTCTGGATGATATGTTCAGCTTTGGCTCTCATGAGTCGTTCTTACAGTTGTTTCATAATGACTATTCTTTACAAAATAAAAGGTTATATATATATATATAATAAACAACATATATATGGCTGAGACGACAGTCGTTCCGAGCCAAAATTGGGTATAATTGGCTTAAGTTAGCTACCTCAAAACTTCATTCCTGCTAGAAACGAAATGAATTAATCTAAAAACAACAAAAGGAGATTGGAAGTCTGAAGTCGTTCTTTCCCTCAAATTAGGTTTATGTGGTTAAGATAAACCACCCTCAAAACTTCATTCTTACTAGGGAGCGAAATAAACTATTTAAAACAATAAAGAAACACTAAGTTGCCTCCCAGACAACACTTTATTTATAGTCTTTAGTAGGACTTGGCATTTTCATTCAGACATGATCAGAAAGAGGAATGCCTTTACAAGTTTACTCTTTTCCTGATGTAGTGGGGACTTCAGTGCCCCCAGGAAATGTACCTGATGGTCTAGACCTAAGAGTAGAGGCAATTAGCCCAAGCTAGGTCCTC